GGGGAGGGGGCCCAGGCAAGCTAGCAAAGGTGAAGCAGTCGAGAGCGATGAGGGCAGGAGAGGTCGGCACCAAGGAGAGCAGCTGGCAGAAGCCAGGCATGCGCAGAAGAGAACAGACAAGTGCAGACCAAGGGCCAGACCCGTCGGGGTCGACAGCGAAGGGGCAGGGGAGCAGGGCGGGGAGCCGACATCAGCCGATATGAGGAAGAACTCCCCAACAGAGAGGGCTTTTCAAAATGCAGCAAGCCTCTCCAGGACATGGGTGACGGAGGGAGCCCCCGCTCTGGGCGGGAGGCAGGACACGCCCCTAAGAATGGGGAATTTCAGAGACAACTGGAGACCAGCCCTAGACCATTAAATAAGTGAAATGCCAACTCGGGCTGCCCAAACACGCAGAACCCACGAGGTCACGCAGTGATCGGTCCTCGGCCTCCTGGAGGCAGCTTTTCTGAAGGTGAGCCGTCGGGATCCAGAAGCCTCTGACCCGGCTTCCCGCTTGCTTTCTGTCTCCCTTCCCCCCCAGGCCAGAGCCATGGTCCACCTACCCCTCCGACCACCCCAAAGACAGAGCTGCAGTCGGGCAAGGCAGACCCCAAGCGGGATGGGCGCTCCATGGGGGAGGGCGGGAAGCCTCACATCGACTTCGGCAACGTGGACATCGGTGAGATCAGTCACGAGGTAATGTCCAACATGGAGACCTTTGATGTGGCCGAGTTGGACCAGTACCTGCCACCCAACGGGCACCCGGGCCACGTGGGCAGCTACTCGGCAGCCGGCTACGGGCTGGGCAGCGCCCTGGCTGTGGCCAGTGGACATTCCGCCTGGATCTCCAAGCCACCGGGTGTGGCTCTGCCCACGGTCTCGCCACCCGGTGTGGATGCCAAAGCCCAGGTGAAGACGGAGACCGCGGGGCCCCAGGGCCCCCCGCACTACACCGACCAGCCATCCACCTCGCAGATCGCCTACACCTCCCTCAGCCTGCCCCACTACGGCTCTGCCTTCCCCTCCATCTCCCGCCCCCAGTTTGACTACTCTGACCATCAGCCCTCAGGACCCTATTACGGCCATTCAGGCCAGGCCTCTGGCCTCTATTCGGCCTTCTCTTACATGGGGCCCTCGCAGCGGCCCCTCTACACGGCCATCTCTGACCCCAGCCCCTCAGGGCCCCAGTCCCACAGCCCCACGCACTGGGAGCAGCCAGTATACACGACGCTGTCCCGGCCTTAAAGGGGGCCCTGTCATCACCACCCTGCCCGGCCCCTCTGGGTAGCATGCCCCGTCCCCCAGCCTTTGTGCCCTGTTCCTCGCCCATCTCAGACCTGGTGGTGGGCCGTGGAGGAGGGTGCAGAGGCTGACAGCGGAGAGAAGGCTTTCTGTCTGGCTCACTGCCTTTGATGACCCCACCCCGTCCTATCCAGGCTCCAGCCCAGGCAAAGCCCCGGGCTCCTAGGCTGGGCAGAGGAGAAGGAGGTTGATTGTCGCCCCTAGACTGAACGATGAGGGGCCGCACCTTCCCACCCCCCC